AACCGATGTAGAGCAGGTCGTCGACGTAGACGATGAGCAGAATGTAATCTCTTCCCTTCTGTAGTCGGTACATGCCTTGGTCATGTGGTAGCTGTAGGAATCCGATTTTTACGAGCCGGCCGTGAAGGTGCTGCTGCCAGAGCCGTGGGGCTTGCTTGATCCCGTAAAGGGATTTTTCCAGCTGGCATACTTTTGAAGGGTCGTCGATGAATCCGTGGGGTTGTTCGACGAAGATTTCGGCGTCCACAGGTGCGTACAAGAAGGCGTTTGCAACGTCGATTTGCCGTAGTGGTAGTTTCTTCGTGGCCGCGATGGCGAGTAGGATGCGCAGAGAGGTGTGACGGGAGACTGGAGCGAAGGTTTCTGTGTAGTCGGTTCCGTATCGTTGATCGAAGCCTCGTACGACCCATCGAGCTTTGAATCGTTCGATGGAGCCGTCTGAGTTGGTCTTGATGCGGTACACCCATTTCCCCGAGAGAATGTTCTTCCCATTGATGCTCGTTGCAGGTACCAGTTTCCATGTTTCTCGGTCTTGCAGAGCTTTTAACTCTTTTTCCATCGCTTCCTTCCATTGTGCCTTATGTTCCCCCCCCAGAGCCTGCGACAGGGTCGACGGCTCGCGCGGAGAAGGCGGCGGCGGGTGCTGGACGGAGACCCATAGTCCTAGGATCTGCAGTCCCGTGGCTGTGTGTCGAGGGGAGTTTTCATTCTCGGGATAAGCTGCTTCATCACCGTCTTCAGGATCGGGTAAGAAGTTTGGCCCGATGCGTTCGGAAATATTCGAGTCGACGGGGTGTGGTGTAGCGTAGCCTTGGTCAGCGAAGTGGTAAAAGGTGTCGAGGTTGTTGCTATCGAGAGGATTATCTTCATCGAGTGGAACAGGTACGGAGCAGTAGGGGAGTGGTCCGGCAGCCTCCGAGGCTCCAGGGACGTCTTCTTCTGCTGCGTCAGCCTCGGCAGCATGGTCAGCGAAGGAGCGAAGGCCCGCGAAGCCGTCGGTGGGGTCGTCTGAGTTGGCAATGTTGTCCAGGTAATGCTGCAGCGTCAGTCGCTCGTAGAAGATAACATCACGTGATGCCACCGTATTTTTGTCGTGTATGTCGAGAATCTTCCACGCGTGAAAATGTTTGGCGATGCCGAGGTGTAGTCCCCACCGAGCTCGTTGAGTGAAGCGTCCTGCTCGAGCTGTGTGGGGTCTGTATTGTACCATGCAGCCGAAAACTCGAAGTAATTTTGTGCTACCCCTTTTTCCCGTCCACAGCAGGTGCGGTGATGCGTTGTTGGGGAGCGATGACGAGGACAACAGGTTGTGCAGGTGGACTGCATGTGTCATCGCGTCTGGCCACAGTGTATTGGGCAGCCTCATCCCCAGAAGCAGTTTTCGCATCGTCGTCTGCAAGGTCCGGTTCATGCGTTCTGCTACCCCCTGCTGCTGGTGAGCATAGGGCAGAGACACCAGGCGTCGGATTCCCCTTTCCGCGAGATAGGTCCTGAAGCGTTGTGACTGGTATTCCAGTGCACCGTCTGACTGGAAACTCTTGAGTTTGGTTCCTGACTCTCGTTCGGCGATTGGAAGCCATGTGGTGAAGGCCTCGAAGGCTTGATCGCGCGTTTTGAGATTGAAGTGCCAGACGTATCTGGTTGCGGCGTCGATGAACGTGATGACGTAGTTGAAGTCGGCTTCGGTGTCGTCTCGAGGCATGTTTAGAATATCGCTGTAGACCTTTTCCATCGGAGCGTAAGTGGGTGCGCTTGGATTGTGATGGGCTGGGAAAGGTTGATGAGGAAGATCTGCTTCGGGGCACGTGAAGCATCGTGCTCTTGGTCGGCGAAGTTCTTGGCCGCTCGTCGTTAGAAGGGCGTTACGTTCTAACACCTCTGCTTGTATTGTTTGTAGTATCGTGCTGTTTGCAGGATGTCCGAGACGTTGGTGCCAGATGTCGTCGGGAGCGCGGTGACCGGGCGAGCGGTGGTAGATGTCGGCGTTGGAGAAGAACGCGACGACCGAGGCGGGACTTCGACAAGCTTCTCGTGTGGCGGGCATAAGTTGGTCTGCTTCCGTTGGCGGTCCTCGTGTTGATGGTGGTGGTACTCGGCTGGGTCCTGCTGCCGATACTGCAGGTGATGGTTTTGTTGGGACGCTTGCTGGTACTTGTCTTTCTTGTCTGATAACTGCTAATGCCCGTGTTCTCTCTGCTGCAGGTATGGTGTTGGAGTGCCAGAAGCCGTCACTGTCGAAGTCGGGATCAAGATCTGGTGGGTGAGTCCAGGCGGCGAACGATACGATGCCATCGCTGTCGGCAGTTCCGCGGTCGGGGACGAAGTCCAACACGAAGACACCGGACTTCAGGAGGGCACGACCGATGAAGAGACCGCCCTTCCCGTGGTAAAGTCGGAACTCGTTGGAGAAGGAGTCGCACTCCAGGTGAATCCCCTTAGCCATTAGTTGGCTTACGCTTAGTAGGTTGTATCCCAGATTGTCGACGATGAGGACTTTGTTGAGCTGAAGAATAACGTTTGTCTCCATTGATTGTAACTGAACCACGCCTTGCCTGTTTGTTTTCAGGTTTTCGTTGTTGGCGACGGTGATGACGACGTCGCGGTTGAGGCGTCGCTCGTGTTGTACGAAGCGTCCGGAGGAGCACATGTGCTGACCGCAGCAACTGTCCAAGAACCAGGTGTTCCGCCCGGTGGGTTCGGCGTTAGCGACTGCAGCGTATGTCGGGTTGACCTGAAGTCCTTGCGAGCGCGGCGGCGGGAATTCCTCTTCGTCTGGTGCGTAAGTGGGTGGTGAAGCGGGTGCGCAGTTGTCGATGTGTACCATGCAGTTGATGATGTTGGGTGTTTGTTGTGCAGATGTTGAAGAACGCCTTGGAGGACTTGCTTGAGTGGAAGCGACTTGTGGGTCTGCTGCACGGTAAACGCGAGGGCGGTTGCAGTTGACCTTGGAGTGCCCGGAAGTCTGACAGTTGTGGCAGAACGGCGGCACGATGGTGAGTCCTCGGTTGTCGCGTTGATCTTGCTTGCTGCGTCGGTTGTAGTTGTTGTCATTTCTTCTTTGAGTGTAGAAGACTAACTGCTGTTGCTTCCTTGGTTGTCTTTCCTCGAACAGATCCATCTCCTGTTGTTCAGCGTGAAGCTCGGCGCAGAGGTGCATCTCCGAAATTCTTCCGTGGGCTCGAAGAAGTGATCGTGTGGTTCTCCATTCTGGCCCGAGCCCGGCGAGGACAAGTGTCACGAAGCTTTCTTCAGTGATCGTTCCTCCGCACCGAAGCAGGCGGTCGCGGAGGGTCTGGCAGCGACTCATATACTGCATCGCCTTTTCCCCGGTCTTCATCTGTATTGTTGTCAGCTGTTGCATGAGTCTGCTTTGTGTCACGCTGTCGTTTGCTTGGTAAAGGCATTTGAGGTGGTGCCATGCGAGCTCCGCGGGGTTTCCATAACTCCGATACGTTCTGATGCTCTGCTGCTCTTGTGGTGACAGGTTTCTCAGGAGTACCGTGTACGCCAGCAGCGACTGATACGTGAAGATCTCTTGTTCCTTCCCAATGCCGTTGCTTGGGAATGGCAGGGACCCGTTGAAGTATCCCAGAAGATGCGCAGCCTCCATCAGCAGCTCAAACTCGAAGCTCCAGGTAAAGAAGTCGTGTCCGTTGAACGGTGAGGATGTCTGAAGTTTGATCACGTGTGAGAACTGCGCCTGTAAACTTAAGATTTCATTCGGTGTTTGTTGTGAAGCAGCTGCTGTTGGCTGGGCACGGGGCGGCATGAATTCGAACGTCCCCGGCGAAGAATGATAAGGCGCAAAGGTAGGCGCTTGGTTGTGTCGCCCGAAGGATGAGTTGTCGAGGCTCATCGGCGCTAATCCCATATTCCCTCCATTGCTCTGTGTTGAGTGCGCAGGTGTCCTTGTCTGCTGCTGCTGGTCGAAGTGTGACATGAAGCTGAAGAATCTCTCCATGAGATTCGGGTCCACACTTGAAGAGGGAGACGGAGTCACCATCTCTGGTACTCTTCCCGTTGTTTCTTGAGTAGTCCCGGTCTCTGTCTGCAGTCCTGAGGTGTGCAGACCAGAGTTGCCGTGTTGAGTTTCTTGGGCGCTGGGTGAGCCCGTAGAGACTTTCTTGCCCTTGTTGTCCATGTCTTGTAATCAATGGAGTTGTTGAATCAAGTTGAGTTGCTGGTTGTTGATGGAGTGTAGTTGCTGGGAGTTTTGATCTCTGACCAGCTCTCATACCATGTTGGGCTGAGAAAAAGCCCTTAGGATCTTTTGCAGAGACTAAGTCCCAGCTTGTAGAGACTTGAGACTTGGAGTAGTGCAGCGGAAGTTGAGGCAGTTGAATCCTTGTACTAGTATGTGAGAACAAGTGATTTATTAAAGAAACAAGCATACAGCAATATATAGAAGATAAGGAAGCAGTTGTAGAATACAGTTACAGGAACGGTTTATCGAGTCGCACAGCGACTCGATTGCCGCTTCGGTTACCATCCGTGATGTTGTAACGGTCAGTCGCAACCTCCAGTTGCGACCTTTCGAGTCCTTTCGCATTCTTTGTCCGCCCCCTCGTGTAACCTCCGTTGACTCGCGTGCTCCCCTGTAATCTTCCTCGAGTACAGTGTTACACTTCAGAAACGCTTAAGTCCTTGAGATATTTCCAACATTCACCAATGCACTACCGCCTCGTGACCATCAGCGGTTTTGTACTCAGCTTGGTCTCGTCTCAGTAGCAGCACCGCTCCTTGTATCCTGATACATACTAGTATACCTGCTTGTACTTGCTATGCTAAACCTGCATGTCTTGTTACACTTGCTGATTGGCCTTGTGGCCTCTAATCTCAATGGTCAGACTAGTAGTGCTGCCTTGAGTTTTATTTTGACCGACGAAGGGCATGCTGGAATGCGAAAGGGGGGGGGGGGGAGAGGGAAAGGGGGATGCGGCAGGTGCCCTTGCAAGGAAGTAGGCAAACTTATTTGCCATCTTTCAACAACGCTCTCCATCTCCCCCATAGAGCATATAATCGTTACACAGCAGCAAAGGTCAACAATGGAGAAAAATCAGCATTGTATGACTTTGCATCAATGCTTAAGGGCCCAAAATCCTCGTTCACCTCCTGCCATTCACCCTTGCTTACGATTTTTTTTTTCCATCCGAAACACCAGACGCGTCTAGAAGCACACAGCCACCCACAGCAGCAGCAGCATTGACCATCAGCCAATCCTTCCCCACCTCCTCTCGTATTTCTCGACTCTTTGCCCTGCGCCATGCTCCTCCCCTATGCTTGCCTCACTGCACTTTCTCCACACCATCCTTCCAAGCCCGCGAGCGCCAGCTCGGTGTCCCTCATCCGCGCCTTCAGATGTGCCGTCCATCGCTTTCTCCTTCACCTCCAACGCGCCCTGGATTCGCACCATTTCCGCCTTCAGCTTGCTCACTGCAAATCCCACTTTGTCAGCTATAAGAAATATTCGGCCCATGCCACCCAGCACATGCCATGCAGCCTGTGCCACACATGCCATGCAGCCTATGCCATCTAACACATGCCATGCAGCCTATGCCATCTAACACATGCCATGCAGCCTATGCCATCAACACATGCCATGCAGCCAATGCCATGCAACACACGTCATGCAGCAGATGCATTGGGCCTATACCATGCAAGAGCAACCATGCCTCTCAACCGTCCAACCTCAGTGTGCCTCCTCCACACCCCAAGGGCGCTGAAGCTCCTCCACACCCCAAGGGCGCTGAAGCTCCTCCAGCGTCTTAGAGCTGGAAGTCACATTCCCTCACCAGCAGCCGGGTCACCCGCCTCTTATCCACAATGGGTCGCAGCCACCCCAGCTGAATGCTGTTGAAACTCAGATCCAACGTCTTCAACCTTGGCAGCTGGCTGAGTTGCCGCAGAAACGCCACCTTGAGGTTGCGGCACTGCTGCAGCTTCAAGCACTCGAGATGCCGAAGCTGCTGCAGCCGCACAGAGTCCTCTCGAGTGACGGCCGTGCCTGACAGGTCCAGGGACTCCAGCTTTGGCGCCACTCCAACCAGCCTTGGCACAAATGCGTGGCCAAACTTGCACCCAGCCAGGCTCAAGTCAGTCAAATGATGCAACGTGGTCAAACATCCAGTGTCAAAACGATCAACACAAGTGGTGGTGACGTGAAGAGTCTTGAGCAGCCTGAGCTTGCGCAATGCGATTGCAGCTACCTTGTTGCACTCTGCTGCGTGCACACCAAGGTGCTCCAAACCCCTCAGCTCTCCCACCACCTCCCACACACCATCGTCCAAGCGAGGGCTATTGGACGACCCGCTGCTGCCAGACGGGGAATCGTCATAATACCTGATGATTTTCGGCAAACTATCCTTTGAGAATTCCAGCTCCAGGGCAGGGCTATGCCCAGAACCTTCAGAGGAATCCCACTCAGGGAATTGCCAGTCTGGCGCCACCTGCAGCCACCTCAGCTTGGTCAGCCTCTTGAGGTGCTGCCACCCCTGGAGGGTCACTTCCTCCCTGCACGTGCAGGAGAAGGCCTCGAGGCTCTGCAGCAGACCAACCTCCTGCAGGTTCTCATCGTCCACCCCGCTCATGTGCAGCTCCATCAGGCTTCCCAAAGGCTTTGCCCCCTCGGGGCTGTCATCGGTGACCTTCAGATTGAAGAGGTGGGCATCGGGGCAGTCCAGCACCAACCGGCGGAGGCGAGTGAACGACTTGAGCAGCGGCACGGCAGCTCGAGTGACGGGCGTCTCCTGGAAGGTGAGCGAGGTGAGCGCGGGCAGCTTGGCGAGGGAACGGAGGGCGTGCAGCTGGATGGGGGAGAGGCCGTTGAGAGTGAGGGAGGAGAGGGAGGAGAGGAGGCCGGGGCAGCAGGCGGGAGCGAGGGTGAGAAAACAATGGAGAGTTCGATTACGTGGCGTGTGATTCTCCCCAGTGGATCTGGTGAGGGTGAGAAGGCTTGCTGTTGGGTCTTGGCTGGATAGGAAGTCAACAACCTCGTAAATTTCTATCCTCGCACTGCCTTGCTCAGCTGGAGAGATATGACGCAACAGAGAGTCGATCAACTTCCCCATCTTCTCCATGCTCCGCCTTTCCCTCTCTTCCTTACTCATATTTCTCCAGTTCTCCTTACTCTCACCAAACCTGTGACCACTCTGCACCTCGTCTCTCTGCCCCACCCCTGCGCCCTGCTCCCCTGCCCCTCGCCCCCCTTGATCTCCCCTTGCAACCACCTCGTTCCCAACCTCTCCACCTGCCACGCCGAAGCCTCCTCCCTCTCCTCCACCTGCTCCCCCCACCTTGCTCTCCCCTCCGCCTCCATCTGACAGTTTCTCCCTAGCATTGCCATGATTCTCTTCATCTAATGTCGCTCCTTGACTGCTGCCCGCAGCAGTGGGACCGACGCCAGGGCAGCGTGGCTCGGAGTGCGGCTGGGGAGGGTGAGAGCGGGGTGTGATGGCGATGAGAGAAGGGAAGGAAGGTGGATAATTAAGGGAAAAGTGTAGAAACCAGCAACTTGCATGCAAGGATTGGAATAGTAGGCTTGGGCAGCGAAGCACGAGAAAGGAGAGGAAGAACTAGAGGCAAAACAAAAAATAATGATCAGGGAATGACGATAACTGCGAGTCCACTCGAAAAGCTAGATTGGAGAGGGAACAAATGAGATTGCGTGCAGGAATAAATAAGACGAGGGTAGCAGGTGCCAGCTTGAGGGGATGGAAAGAAGGACAGACGACAGGGAGGAGGTAACGTGGGGGTCAAGAGGGATCCAGCAATGAGTGACGACAGAAAGGCAAAGGCAAGTTGGAAAGAGATGTACAAATGGGGCTCTGAGAATTCTGGATTGTGGTCTGTTCATACTCAATGAAATATCATTCGTGTGCGAGTAGAATGTGTAAAGGGGAAGAGCAACCGTGAAGGGTGAATGGGCGTGTGAGTTCTTCCCATGTCCATTCCATACAAGTTGCACTAGCACGGTGTCTTTTGGACAGTGAGAACGCACACTCTATCTGCCTGCCACGGAATGTCAACCCAGAAGGTTTTCCCGTTTCTTTTGTACTACAAGTCTACTTGCTGCACTCCCTCCTCTGCTATTCCCCAACGTATGTGCAGAGGAAAACGAGGAAGGTACGCAGCGCAATAACATCCCCCAATTGCGCCAATCATGGTTCTCCCCTGCAGCTGCATTGCTTATCCATATCAATGACACCGTTCACATGATACTCCTCCTCACCACATTAGACGCTTGCTCCTCGTATTCCTCCTCCTCCTCGCGCCCTCCCGCATCCGCCACTTGCGCCTCTTCACCCGCCAATGCACTTGCCCCCCCAAGCCCCTGTACTCTTCTCCGCGCTTCTCTTGCCTTTTCCCGAACGGCCTCTAGATGCAAGGGGAGCACCTCGAGATGCTGCCACACAGCGTACAGGGAAGCGGAGGAATGAGGGAAAGGGTATGGCAGATGTAGGGAAGAGCGGCACAGCAGGGAATGTTGCTGCAGCGACAGGAGTGATCGAGGAGGGCGGAAGGGAGGAACGACAAGGGAAGGAGGGAGAGGATGGGTGGGAGAGGGAGACGGCGAAGGCTCAAGCGAGGGATGGATGGGGGAAGGGAGGGAGGGAGGGAGGGAGGGAGGGAGGGAGGGAGGGAGGGAGGGAGGGAGGGAGGCAGGCAGGCAGGCAGGGATAGAGGGAGGGAGGGAGGGAGGGAGGGAGGGAGGGAGGGGGGGAGGGAGGGAGAGGGAAGGAGTGAAGGAATCGTGGAGAGAGCTAGGCTGTGGGGCATACGCTCACCTCCATCAGATTCTGTGAGGCAGAGCCATCACCCATGCGAGAGAGTGCAAGCCATTCCGTATCCGGCAAATGTGCCATGTTCTGCCACTTGGCTCGAACCAGCCTCGCTGCATCCAGTACTTTCCCAACCTTCTCCTCAACGCACCCCTCCACCTCACTCACCGCCTTCTCAGCCTCCTTCACCATCCCTCTGAGCTCTTCTTCTCGCCCCCACGCCTTCCCTACCGCCCGTGTCAGGTCTGCCACTACTCCAGCATTCCTTGCCTTTTCCTTTCGCGCCCTGTCCTCCATCTCTCTATGCTGCTCTCTCAACTCAGCCACCACCCTCTCCGTCTCCCTCACTGCGCCTGTCAGTTCCTCTTCTCTCCTCTTTGCCTTATCTAGAGCCTCGGCAGTCTTTACCTCCTGCCGAATCCGCTTTGCCTCTGCCTCTCTCAGCCTCCCTCTCAACTCGGCCACCACCCTCTCACTCTCCTTCACTTTCCTTGTCGATTCCTCTTCTCTCCTCTCTGCATTCTGTGAAGCCTCAGAAGCCATTTCTTCCACTCTTCTCTTCCTTGCCCTTTCCTCTCTCACCCTCTCCTCCATCTCTCGAAGTGTCTCCCTCAACCCAGCAATCACCCTTTCTCTCTCCTCTACGGCGCCTTTCAGCTCCTCTTCTTGCCTCTTCATCCTATCCATAGCCTCAATCAATCTCTTCTCTTCCTCCATTTTCCTGCTTGCCTCCTCCTCTCTCACCCTCTCCTCTGTCCACTGAAGCCTCTCCTCCAGCCCAGCAGTCACCGACTTTGCCTCCTCAAGCGCACTTACGATTTCCGCTTCCCGCTTCTTGGCCCTCTCCACCGCAATCATCGCGTTCTCCTCTTCTTCTCGCACCCTCCTCTCCAAGGTCTCAACTCTCGCTTTCAATGCACCCACCAGCTTCGCTCCCTCCTCCACTGCTCGTTTCAGCACCTCTTCCCGCTTTTGTGACCCCTCTGCAGCCTCAATCCCTTCCCTCTCCGCCTCTTTCACTCTCGCCTCTATCTCCTTAAGCCTCTCCTTCAACCCAGTTTTCACAATATCGCATGCCTTCAATGCTTCTTCCAACTCCTCTTCCCGCCCCTCCGCACCCAAAATACCTTCACTCGCTTTCCTCTCCACGTCGCTCATCTTCGTTTCCTCCTCCTCTCTCACCCTCTCTTCCGCCTCCCTAAGTCTCTCCTCCAATCCAGCCATCAGTCGCACAGCTCCGCTCAGCTCTTTCTCTCGCCGTCTGACCCTTTTAGTAGCCCCCGCCAACCTTTTCTCCAGTTCTCTCCTCTTCATTTTCTCGTCCTCCCTCACTCTCTTCCTCTCCTCCTCTCTCACTCTCTCCTCCATCTCCCCGAGCCTCTCCTCCAATCTCGCCTTCACCCCGACCTCCACGGCTCGCTGCACGCTAACAATCACATCCAAGCATAACAGCTGTCTCTCCCTCCCTGCTCCGTCTGTCTGACTGACACAAGTCGCCACCCCAGCAACTGCCACCTTATCACTTACCATCTCGTCAGCCGCCACCTCATCACGTGCGACCTCAACACCTGCCAGATTCCCACGTGGCACCTTATCACCAGCCATGTCATCAATTTCCAACTCCTCGCCCTCCCCCTCATCACTGTCAACCTCTCCTTCCTCTCTTTCCACGCCCACCGCACTCACCATGCCCGCCACCTCGCCACCTGCCATTATAGTAGCACCAGCCACGTCATTACGTACTGCCTCGTCCCTTGCCGCCTCACTATTTGTCGCCACGTCATCACCCTCAGCACCTGCCACCTCGCCACCTGCCACCTCTTCCTCTATTTTCACAGCCACTGCACCGCCGCCCACAACCCGGCCTCTCCTCTTGTACACCTTTAAAGCAGGTCCTCCATTAGAAAGGGTAAAGGCTCTCTTCTTACCACTCGTGCAATTCTCTTTACGAGCATTTCGGTTGGCCTGTTTCTCTAACTCACCACCCACAAGCATTCCGCCTCCTCCCCCTTCTCTCTCCTCGTTTTCGCTTGCCCCCTTCTCCACCATTCCGCCATTTTCCGCCTGCGCCTCTAACCCCCCTTCCTGCGCCTCTTCCCCTACCTGTGCCTCTTCCCCCTTCTGCGCCTCTCCCATTACCTGCGCTGCCCCACGCACATCCCCTCGCCTCCCCAGTCCCTTCTGCTGCTGCTGCTGCTTCTCCAGCGTCACAGGGTGAGCGTTCTCTTCGTCTCCTCTCCCCGTGCCCACCTTGCCCAAAGCAGCATTCGCCTTGGCTGTCGCCGTCGCACCTCGCCCTACATCCATCAGAGGCTTTCTTGCGTTCGTCGACTCCCTCCGTCCCCCTGAAGCCCCTGAAGCCGCTGAAGCCCCTGAAAAAAATTTCGTGCCAGGCTTTTTACCCTAGCGGGCCAGCGGCATCGCATCCTTCGCAAAACAGGGGCTCTCCGCAGATTAATTCTGGTGCTGGCGATCAGCAATCGTAAAAGACACGACGATGGAGAGGCGTCGACGAGGGAACAGGCAAAACGACTAGTTCCGTGAAGCTACTAGTGTATCCCTCAACAGGCTGCGCATAGATCCTGCGCCGCCAAGGGGAAACGAGAGACCAAAAGGCAATGAAATGAGAGGAAAGAGCCGAGCTGGAGAGACTAATCGATAATAGGGTGCGCATTGCCAGGTGGTGTGAGACGGCGTGCACGGGAGGGTGAGGAAAGGAAACCCAATTTTGTGCGGAAGCAGGGGGCGCTGGTTTTTCTGTTGTGCAACTCACAGCCGGAGGTCCATGGTTGTGATACGTCGAATTTTGAATGTTTGAATTCTGGAAACGCGAGCACTGAGTTTCGGTACAAGAAATCTCGAGAGTTCGTTTCGCAACAAGCCCAACCCAGATTTATGTGTTCCGCTGTAGAATATGGTACACACGCACACAATTCACGCACATTGCAAATTCCAACCATACCTTTCCCATTCTCTCCTTCCCTCCCCGATGTGTGAAGGGAAAACCTTTTCCTTCCCAACCCTTCCCTTCATCAACTTGCACTCATTGCGCTGTCTATCCTCGTCCTACCTTGTCCTTGTGGATCTTTCTCAACCAGAGCGTTGATATCCAAGCTTTGCGTGGCAAGACAGAGCTAGTTGCAGTGTGCTGCAATTGGAGGAATCGAAATCGATATCACGCATGGAAGATTTTGGATCTTCGCTCCAAAAAAATCGTCCCATCACGTGATTCTCTTGTATGAAAGACTCACTTTGCCCGTTTTCGTGCCCACCAGACAGCAGCTGCCAACCCCGCCAGGCTGTTCGAAGGCTCGCGTGCATTTGCAGCTGACGAAGCCGAAGCTGATGTACAGGACGAGGCCGTTTCTAAAGCTTCCGAAGCTGCCGCAACAGACATTCCCGAACCTGTCACCTCGACTGGCATACCGGAGTTTATTCCTTGTGCAGATGCTGACCAGGATGACGTTCGCGAAGTCCACCTCAGTTACGAACGCGACCGCCAACAGCAGCCGATGCCCGCCGTCTCCGACGAAGCAGTTCGTGTTACACCTGACGAAATTGGGGGGGAAGAAGGACCAAAAGAAAATTTCGCAGGTGCAAACGAAGAACGTCCCCGTTTTACAGAAACCGGTTTACAGATACTTGGATTTGCATTAGCAGTACAGTACAACGATAGTAACATACCTGAACCGAAAACCGTTCGACAAGCTCTTACGAGTCCTCACCGAGAAAAATGGCGCGAAGCCATGGACAAGGAGTTAGCAGCTCTTAAGAATCGTGGCACATGGGATTTAATACCGACTTCAAGAGCAAAAGGGAAGAAGGTACTTACCGAAAAATGGGTCTTCCGCGTCAAGACTAATGCAGATGGGTCGTTTGAGAAATTCAAGGCGCGATGGGTCGTCCGCGGTTTCGAGCAGACTTACGGCATCGACTACGAACTAACTTTTGCTCCTGTCAGTCGACATACAAGCGTTCGGATTTTACTCTGTGTCGCTGCCTGCCGTAATATACGACTTGACAAATCGACGTGTCAAATGCGTTTCTCTATGCGCCTGTCGACGCACTCATCCTGGTAGAGTACCCACATTCCTATGCTACTAACCCACTGAACGTATGCCGTCTCCAAAAATCGCTATACGGCATTTAACAGGCACCATGGCTCTGGCAGCAGTACCTCCACTCACAGCTGATCACTGCCGGATTTCGTCAGCTACCGCATGACCAGGGAATGTATTTTCTGACTGACGGCAGCAACTACATTTTACTCGTCGCCTACGTCGACGATATCCTCTACGTCAGTACTACCGATTCTCTTGCCTGTATCTTCATACTGAAACTACAGAAAACTCTACAGCTTACCGTCTCCGAAACAGTCTCACAGTTTCTTGGTCTAAACATTACCTGTTCACCGACGTCTATTCATCTCACCACCTCGAAGTACGCAGCGACGCTTGCTGCTCGCGTCAACCTCACTCCTACTGCAGTCTCTACACCGTACCGCTCACTACCGACTGATCACAAACCAAACACTGCACTGTTAAGTTCAACCGGTTTACAGATCCATCAACAGCAGTTAGGCTGTCTACTCTTCGCCGCTGTCACTTGTCGTCCCGATCTAGCTTACGCGGCCAGCCAGTTCGCTCAGTTCCTACGCCGACCTGAAGAAGAACATCAACTAGATCTTCTTCGTGTGCTTCAGTATTTCATCTCAACACTTGACGTCGGTTTAGACTACAACGTCATCGGTTGCAAAACACTACACCTACATGGTTTCGTCGACGCCGATCACGCTTCTGACTCTACTAATCGACGGTCGCGCACTGGATTCATCTACCGGCTTGAACCTATCGAACCTATTTCTTGGAATTCGACGAAGCAGGATTTGATTGCTCTCTCCTCTGCTGAAGCTGAGTTCATCGCTGTCTGCATAGCAACACGCGAAGGACTTTACCTACAGGAACTATTGGAAGAAGCGAAGTTGACGACGACTACCCAGTTTACCCTACAGTGCGACAACCAAAGTGCAATTCGTATCGCGCACCAGCCTGGCTTCGTCAACAGGACGAAACATATTTCTCTACGTTACTTTTTCGTCAAAGATGAAGTCGAGAAGGGGAGGATGCGGTTGGTCTACTGTTCGACCAATGAAATGGCTGCCGATTTCCTCACAAAGAAGCTGACGCGACAGAAGTTTCAATACTATAACAAGCTTTGCGGGATCTTCAAGAAGTGACACTATCGAACTTCCAGAAATGAAGGGGAGTGTTGTGGTATATTTCATACTTAGCATTTCTGTAAGTTGTTTATCGATAGATAGTGTCGAATCTTACTGTAGAAGATAAGTCCGCAGGATGACGTCAGCAAATAGCGCTCGTCATAGGACAGTCGTTTGAGTCACGCGAATAGTCGCACCTCTTCATTATCATTTAGGGCGCATAGCGCGATAGTGACGAACATGTACATTAGCGAACAGGTACTTTCCTAGAGCTATAAATCTTTGTTCTGTCCTTTTATTATTAACCTTGAGATTTTAACTTTGAGACTTAACTTCTACAGAAACACATACTCAGGTTCACTCTTACAAGACTTCCGCTGTCTTACTAGTCTACCATTCCAGTAAAGATCCTAGGCTAACACTTGAGGTTTTCCAAGTGTTCGTGTTGCAGATTTTATACTTAGTCTTCTGCAACACCTGACAAAATATTACATCTTCTACAGTAGGATTCGACACTATCTATTGATAATCGACTTATAGAAATGATAAGTATGAATTATACCACAACAGTTTCAACCACGTGGGCAGCCATTCTTAGAATAGCCGAATGAATAGAACAAGAGAGTATAGGAGAGGATATAGGGTTGGATTTGTACCCTCTATAAACACAAACCTATCTAGCCTATAGCTTTTACATGTAACATATGTATCAGTTGACACACCCCCTAGGCTAGATTAAGGGTTGTGAGCAAGATACGCGCAATACAGGGTGGCACTACTAGTCCGACCTCTAGGGTAGTGGTTCAAAGACCATTCAGCAAGAGTACAAACTCAACAAGAGCAAACCAGGGCGGCACTACTAGTCCAGCCACTGGTAGAGAAGCCACAAGGCCGGCCAAGAAGGTATATATAAAGAGGAGTACACAATCAAGGTCCTAGCAAGTGAGGGGCTACTGGAACTAGACCAAGCTACAAACAGTGCCGCAGATGATCTTTAGGCGCAAGCGCCTTAGTAAAGATATCAGTTGTATTGGCACCGGAGGCCAAGTGTACTACGCGGGCCTGGCGGCGCTGCTGTAGCTCGCGCAGGAGGAAGTACCGCAGCTGGATGTGCTTCACTCTGCCCTCAAGTTGAGGCTCTTGACACAGGAGGACCATGGCCATGTTGTCAGTGCACAGAACCGGTGAGCTAGGCCACTCACCGGTGTCGGTGAGCAAGAAGGTCAACAAGCGCAGCTCCTGTGCCGCCATGGCACCGGCGTAGATCTCAGCCTCATAGCTAGACAGAGCAACAGACAAGGAGCGAGTGGACCTCCACGAGACGGCACGTGAACCAAGGCTAAAGTAGTAGCCCTTGGAGGACCTGAGTGTCTCGGCGTTGTCTGCCCACAAAGCGTCTGTGTGCCCACTAAGGACCACTGGCCTACGTCCTCCTAGCACGAGTCCCATGCTCGATGTACTTGCTAGATAATGCAAAACCCTCTTAGCCCCCGACCAGTGCAGTGGTCAGTGTCTCCCAGTGGCCACAAAGCGTGCCAGGATGTCGAGAGGGTATGCAAGATCTGGACGAGTGCAAGTCATCATGTACATAAGGCAACCCACTAGCTCTGTGTACGGACCATTGGGCTCTACAGACTCCTCGGGAACTTGAGCAGAGAGCCTGTGGTCTACTAACAGAGGCATGGGCTGTGCAGAGGAGAGCTGAAGACCGAACCTCTGAAGGACCTGCCGCACCAAGTGTGACTGTGTGAGAATGATGGTGCGTGCTACTCTTTCCCTGGAGATCTGCAGGCCAAGGTAGCGCTGTAGCTCTCCTAGGTCAGTGCAGGTGTGTCTCTTCAGCAGCTCATGTTGGAAGCCCTACTGCAGCTGCGGGCAGCCAGGCGTTGACCGACTTATGTCGGTGCACCGATTGCCTGGCAGCTGCGGGTTGGTGTGACCAAGGTGCACGGACTAACCGTTGCGTCTGAAGACTATGTCTAGTTTGTGTGGACTAGTCCGGAGATGCTCACGGCGACCAGTGACTCTGACGAGTCATAAGTAGTCGTGGCTATCGCGATGGTTTTTCGTGAGGAGCAAGGCAGCCTTTGCCTTGCTGGTTGGAGTTGCGTACACGGCAAACCCAACCTTGCTGAGTTGGGTTAGAGAATTGGGCGAGGCGCGTTCGCCCAAGCCTTCGGCAAATTCGGGGTGGTTGGTTACACCCGCAGCGCCACGCAACTTTGGTTGGGTTTGCACTTGCCTATATATTTGCGTGCTTATTTGTACTTTGATATATATATTTCTAGTGAACTTCTACTCTACTCGAATTTCGACCAAGTACTTGAAGGCAAACTCTGCCCAAATACCACCAGCGCCTAGCACGTTATTCGAATAGCGTTACTCTGTCGGAATCGCTCCACACTTTACCAGTGCTCTCGCTTTAGCATTCCTTCATGGTGCGATGAGCGTGGAACGAACATGCGAGCGT